ATCTGCTTATCAGCAGATTATTAATAATCAACAGCTGCGCCAAACAGACCCTAAGTCGGGACTAAACGCCACAAGGAAAGGCTTGACCACGGGAATGATCCCGCGGGCAGCGTTATACACAAAATAGAAAACGGTGATTTGAGAACGTAACTGAAACATGGAAAACAAACAGTAGGGCGGCGTTTTCAAAACGTCGCCTGTTGTTTTAAGCTGCCCCAAACAGGCCCTTAATTAGCACACTTTGAAAAATATGATTCAATTAATTTTATTTAATAGAATTTATTGGAGAGTGTAGTGTTTTTTTTTTTTTTCTAAATTATTCTGTGGCATTCTTTGTTCACACTAAATATATTGAAAGTTGTCATGATGAAAAATGATGAATAATATCATAATGGCATAATCTCCCACCAGAAGTCCAAGAAAATCTTAATCTGTTGACATTTAATATTACTTTTATTTTGCGTCCTTATTTGACCACATGACTTGTATTTCTTCTGATTGTTCTTTTTCTAAAAGAAGGCCATTGCATGCATACCTTCTAATTCTTATATATTTATATATTTAATATATAAATTTTATTTTATATATTTACACCACTAAAAATTTTTATATATGTACATAAAAAGTGTGTCAGCATGAATCTTGAAGAGATCTGACGGCCGACAGAAGTAATGACATGACAGACTGGAATCCACCAGAAGCAATTCAATAACATCTATTAATCTGGTCGACAGAAAATAACCCAAAGAAAGACATGTTTCGGTCAACTCCCTTAAAGGCTACTAACACAAAGCTAATGCGAATGAATCCTCTGACATCCTTCCACCAGGCTAGACAAACGATAAAAATCATCATGATCTAAAGCAGTCGGTTGGGGCCTCCCAGTCCATCTTTCGGCTATAGTCGCTCAGGAAATCGCCCATCCGGTCATTCCCTCAGACTCCCCACACGTGGCCGTCAAGCTCAAAATCCAGTTGAATGTCATCCCAAACTCTTAGCCCCATCCGACCAAATGCCTGTTTCAGGCTCCTGGCCTTATAATTATGTATTAACAAAAATGTCTTCCATGTACCTATTTTTCTAGGGGACATCCCCCATTCCTACAAATAGGAGTTCATTTCATGAATAAATGTTATGTAATTTTGTTGTTCATTACTAAGCTCTCTGCTCTCTTCCTTTCTATCGCACTCTATACCTTAAGCGTGTCCCCAAACTGTTTGGATTCAACAATATCACATAAAAGTATCACTATTTTAAATTTTAAATACTGAAATACACACCTTCATGCATATATAAGCTCACATATACAAAAAGTAGAAATTTAGCAAATACATAAGAAGTGGGCGGTATGCATGTAAATCTTCCTTACCAAAAAAAAAATGTTCGTTGGGTTCATCTATAAAATATTCTATATATGTACATATAATTGCAGCTTATAAGAAAATCAAAGTTTAATTAATATTTACTAATATTTTGACCTGTAAAGCATATTATGTGATACATAGTTAAACAATTTTTATCATCCAACATCATGCTCATAAATATAGCACGACTCTCGAAGCAATCTTTTAAGTAATCAACATTCAAACTTCAATTAAGAATTATCTAGAACTCACATTTCAGCAAACTTATAGTCAAACTGATTGACCCAACGAGAAGGACCCAATTATATCAAAATTGATTCAATTTGAACCAAATTTAGCATTGATCAAACTATTAAACAACTTTTATAAGTTTTTTGTATACATTTGAAATGTCAAATATTGCAAGCTTATAGCAAAATCGAGCATCTCGACAAGACGAAGCCAACAAGCTCAAGATAGTTCATTTCGGACATCATTAAGGCACTAAAATATCTATCCAACGCGTTTGATAAAAAAAAAACTCTCTGGACCGTTTCATCAAAGTGGTTCATATTCCTGCATCAATTGCACCTGAAACTCTGTAAGTAGAGTCTCAAATCTCTTTTGAGAGGAGAGGGGAGCTTGAAGCCGAAAGAAGAGCTCAAAGCTTAGAGACGCTTATGTCTAACATCACCTCGTCATCGACCGCCTCCGGCCACCGCCGACCAACAGTTACCGATCGCCGTTGACTATCTCTCATCAGTTAATGTCGATCACCATCGGTCTCCGCCCACTTCTTAAAATAAGTTCATTCATGCATTGACATTGTGACTTCAAAGAGTGTTCAACCCTTCCCCGCCTGTGAGACGAGGGAGTGCACATGTAATATCTAGCTAATAGTGGATTTCTTCATGTTAGGTATGACTCATATACCAGATAAGGGACAAATACTGGAGCGGAACGAAGTGAGCCAGCGGAGTGGAGCGGAAACATCTGTCTAATCGAGAGGGTTTTGTTATGTGGGTTAGGGGTGCGGGGGGAAAGCCATTGCTATACGGTTCATGGGTAATTTTGTAATTACATATTGTACGCCAGAGCTATATATATGTATGGTTTGTAATCCTAGGCAGTTTTGTACTCTTTTTCTAAAATTGAAAAAAAAAAACTATCGCTCTGCTCTCGAGGACGTAGACATCTTTGTCGAACCTCGTTAAATCTCCATGCTTTCTTCTGGATTTGTATCGATTATTGCTTTTTTTTTTGCCCTAAAATTTTCAACACTTCTGCTAGGTTAGGCCATGTGGTTTAATCTTTTTCTGGGTTTTGCCACAAAAAAATATTTGAAATCTATACTAGATATATATATATATA